AGTTGCCAAAGAAGCTTTACAACTCAAATCTAATTTTTATGGTTCAAGAGAACTTAACATGATTTAACACTTGTCTTTTGCATAAATTCCTCTATAAATAGAGTCCTTGGGAAACATATTTTTAGAACTTTGGAAGACTAGAGACACTACTAAAATGCAGTATTCACTGGTTTTTCTAGTTCATTAAGTTAGTTTATTAGTTTAGTATAGAGTAGTATAGTTTCCATTATTTCTTGTATTAGCTAAACTTGGATGATGTTGACCTTGGTCGATCAATCCTTGGTTTTGATGATTAACAAACCAATATGTAGATTTGGGTTAATGTTTTTATGTGAGTAATTTGTTAGAACAGATTCTTGTGGCATAAAGAAGAAGCAAAAACAGGGCACTCATGTCGGACGCTATCGACGTCCGAAAGGATGAAGAACATCAAGAAGGAAACTCTGTCGGACGCTCGTGAGGAAGCATCGACGTCCGGAAGGATCGGACGCACGCCTCGGACGCACATCGATCGCATCGGACGTCCGATAAATTTCGCAAAGATTTGATGACTCTCTGTCAACGTTCGGACGCAGGGTTCGGACGTCGACAGGTGGTTTGGACACAGGGTTCGGACGTTCGACAGGTGGTTCGGACGTCCGACAGGCCAACGGCTAGTTTTGACAGCATTTAATATTTGACCGTTAGAGAGCCTTTTGAAGCCATTTCTCACCTTCTATAAATATCCCAAAGCACAAGAAGACAAGGACTTTTGCCAACACAAAATACAAGCTTACAAGTGAGATTTTTGAATAGAAAGATTCTTTGTTGGTTGTATAAGGGGTTGGGAAAGTTGGGTTGTGAGGTTGCTGAAGTGAAGGTTTCTCTCTAGGAGGAGTAAAACCTTGGTGAGGTGAACCTATCACTTGGAGTGGTAAAACCTTGTGAAGGTTGCCTCATTTGTATAAATAGTTCTTATTTGGGTGTGTGATCTTTCAAATGTAGGTTGTTGAGGTTAACTAGAATAGTTTGTAAAACTCCTTGGCTCAACCAAAGTGTGTTTGGGTGAGGAAGGAGTGAGCATTCACTTGTACATCTTGGTTAGCATCGCCATCTATTGAAGAGGCTATTGGATTGATATTTGGTTTGCATTTCTTATTTTTTCTTTAATTAAGTTTTCTTTATTGTGCTTAAATTTGATATATTTTTGTGCATCATTGTGAAATTGTTTGTACTCATTGGTTGCACCTGGCTTACAATTGTATCAGAGATTGGTCTCTTTTGATCAAGCTTAACCGCTTAGAGTAAAGATCATGACAACCATAAAAGTTTCTTTTTTAGAAGGGCAATCTATTGACAGACCACCTATGTTTAATGGTTCTTATTTTAGCATGTGGAAACAAAGAATGATGATTTTCTTACAATCCGTTTATATTGAATTATGGTATGTGGAGAAGATGGTCCTTATGAAGCCAGAATAATTGACTCTATCACTAATTTGAGTAGATTAAAGACTAGACAAGAATTGAATGAAAAAGACAAGAGATACCTTTCTTTGAATGCCAAGGCCATGTGTATTGTACAATGCATTAGATGTAAATGAATCTAGTAGGATTAAAGGTTGTAAATCAGCTAAAGATATTTGGGATAAATTGTGTGTATTTCATGAAGGTAACCAAGATATTAAAGAACAAAAGAAATCTTTGCTTGTTTCTCAATATGAATTTTTCAAAATGCATCCTCTTGAAAATGTTGATAAGATGTGTAGTAGATTTTGTGACATTATTCAAGATCTTAAATTGCTTGGAAAAGAATATTCTTGGGTGAGAAAAATAGAAAGATTTTGAATGCCTTGCCAAAAGAATGGAAAAACAAAATAAATGCTATAGAAGAGGCAAAGGATTTAAATTCTATGTCCATTGAATTCTTGTGGATACCCTAACTCTTATGAATTAAAGCTGAAATTCAAAGTGCAAGAGGAAGAAAATGCAAGAATGTATAAGAGGGCATAGCTTTTAAAGCATCTCAAGTGGGGGATAACCTATCCTTCATGGGTAATGAAATCATGGAAGTGGACAATGATATAACTCCTCAATCAAAAGTTTCAAGAAGATCTTCAACAAGAGATGTTCAAGAGGAGATTGCAAAATTACATGGGATGAATGCAATCAAAAAGAAAAAAGAAAAATTGGCCCAAATGGCACTAATGGCCGTTGGAGAAGATGAGGTAAGTTCTTATCACTCTTCTTGTGATGAAGATAATGAAGATGATGATGTGAAAATTCTTATGATTAAAATGCATAAAAGTTTGAGAAAATCTTATGCTAAAAATAAAGATTTGAAAACAAAAATAAATGATTTGTTGGAAGAAAACTCCAAACTTTTTCAAGAAAGAACAAATGTTTGAGAATGGAAAATGATGATTTAAAAAATCAAAAAAATGTTTTGAAAAGGAAGTTGGAAGAGAAAACAAAGTTTTATGAAAAAATGTTGGAGGAACAGAATTTGTTAAAGAAAAGAATTAATGACTTGAACGAGTTTCTCCAAAATGAAAAACAAAAGTTTTTCAAACAAAAGAAAGCAAATCTTTTCAAGGCACAAATAAGTTTGTTATGATAAGAAGTAAAGAAAATTAGTTGCATTAAATCCACCTAGTGCAAAATACTTCTATCATGTGTCACTTTTGTTGCAAATTTGGACATATGCAAAATGATTGCTATGTAAAGAAAAATATGAGAAAAGGTATGAAATCCATGTGGATTGCTAGATCATGTTGTATTAACTCCCAAGGACCCTATAAAGAAAGGGTACCAAATGAAATTTCTCATATTTAGGTACATCATGAAGATTTGATCCAAGAAGTGCTATATGGTTGTAAGTACAATTGAAAATTTTGATATTCAATATGGTCTTGATTTGAAAAATAAAGGGGGAGTTTGTTTTTGATTGATGCCAAAAGGGGAGTAGGATTTATTGAAATTTCTTTGTATGTTGGCACTTTCTAAGGGGGAGCTTTATTTGAACTTATTTGATAAGAAATCTTCATTTTGTTTGTCATCATCAAAAGGGGGAGATTGTTGACCTTGGTCGATCAATCCTTGGTTTTGATGATTAACAAACAATATGTAGATTTGGGTTAATGTTTTTATGTGAGTAATTTGTTAGAACAGATTCTTGTGGCATAAAAGAAGAAGCAAAAACAGGCACTCATGTCGGACGCTATCGGACGTCCGAAAGAATGAAGAACATCAAGAAGGAAACTCTGTCGGACGCTCGTGAGGAAGCATCGGACCCGGAAGGATCGGACGCACGCCTCGGACGCACATCGATCGCATCGGACGTCCGATAAATTTCGCAAAGATTTGATGACTCTCTGTCAACGTTCGGACGCAGGGTTCGGACGTCCGACAGGTGGTTTGGACAGGGTTCGGACGTTCGACAGGTGGTTCGGACGTCCGACAGGCCAACGGCTAGTTTTGACAGCATTTAATATTTGACCGTTAGAGAGTCTTTTGAAGCCATTTCTCACCTTCTATAAATACCTCAAAGCACAAGAAGACAAGGGACTTTTGCCAACAAAAATACAAGCTTACAAGTGAGATTTTTGAATAGAAAGATTCTTTGTTGGTTGTATAAGGGGTTGGGAAAGTTGGGTTGTGAGGTTGCTGAAGTGAAGGTTTCTCTCTAGGAGTAAAACCTTGGTGAAGGTGAACCTATCACTTGGAGTGGTAAAACCTTGGTGAAGGTTGCCTCATTTGTATAAATAGTTCTTATTTGGGTGTGTGATCTTTCAAATGTAGGTTGTTGAGGTTAACTATAATAGTTGTAAAACTCCTTGGCTCAACCAAAGTGTGTTTGGGGTGAGGAAGGAGTGAGCCTTCACTTGTACATCTTGGTTAGCATCGCCATCTATTGAAGAGGCTATTGGATTGATATTTGGTTTGCATTTCTTATCTTTTTCTTTAATTAAGTTTTCTTTATTGTGCTTAAATTTGATATATTTTTGTGCATCATTGTGAAATTGTTTGTATCATTGGGTTGCACCTGGCCTAAGATGAGATAGTGGATGAAGATGGAGATGCTTGGAACTCATGTGATAAGGGTGACTTCTCTCCTACCTTTTTGTTTCTTGTTTTAATTCTTATGTTTAGCATAATACAAGTTTGGTATTGTTTTCATGTTTTATTAAAGTTATATTTGTAGAGTTATGGATGAACTTTCTGTTATTGTTAGTGATATTTACTTGGTTATTTGATGATATTATTTTGAACAAGCTATTTAGCACTTTTGCTCTTCTAATCATGTTTAACTGGCCATTAATTGTGATAATCTTAGTGTTAAGTTTGCATCGAGAATTGAGATTTAACACTAGTTCAAGAAAGTGCTAAATTTAGGGAGTTTACTCATGAGAGTAAAGGAGCACCTGTATGGTTTAGTGAATTGTTTCATGTAATTTCATTGAAGAAATGAGCTTGTAGTTAATTTTATAATTACGAGAGTAGGTATGACTTAGTTACAAGTATAATTGATTTACTACGAGAGTAGGTTTCACATACATGAAGGAATTATGCCATAACTAGATAAGATAATAACATTTAATTAACCGATGATTTCAGTTGTAAGAGTAGTAAAAATTTCATACCTTTAGGAGTTTTCTATTATTATTGTATTGCGTTTATCTCATGTTTATAGTGTAGATTTAATTTTTTGCACTTATAATCACTAAATGAAGATCTAGCAGAAGGCTTTTATCTTGACATTGCAAGTTTCAATGGTTGAGATCCGTAGTGCATATATAGCTTGATTATCAGAGGAATGAAAAGGATCAATTACACAATACAAGACCCCATCTTTTTCTGTAGCAGGCAAACCAACAAGCCAAGTGATCTATAGCTATCATTGTAATAATTTCAAGTCTTTAAAGCATTCTCTGTTCCACATGGTGCAGTTTTATCGTTACAGTTTTCCATAACACCACGTAATTAAGTCATATTTGAAAAGGCCATGGAATGGGAAAAATAAGACCATACTTTGAAAGTCTCTTCTTGATGAAGGGATGGAGGTCCAAAGAGCGGCTAGGAATGAGTGACTGTAGAGTCTCTCCAATGAGAGGCAATCCCATAGAACCTGGGGGCAGAACTCCATTCTCACATCTTGGATGCATCCGTCTCCATAACCACTGAGTTGTTAAGATCGTCAAGACTGCTATTACAAACACAACAACTGACAACATCTTCTTTTTCAAGCTGTGTGATCAAGAAACAGTCTATCGTTATACTGCGCAGCTTCCACACTCTCTCAGGTAGTAAATGTTCAGAAGAAAGTCAGATTGTCATATGTTCCACCTCTCTTTAAAGTCCAAGCTAAGTAAAGCTGTTTGTCAAGAAACTTGGTTCAAATATTACTTGATAATTGTTCTTGACTAAACGTTGGTCAATTAAGAGATGCTAATGATCTAATTGACTAATTCTTGAAGAGACAGAGGAGTCCATGTCCACGTATATTTTCCTTTTTCCTGTTTTCTTTCTTTTGGAAACCAGAAAATGACTTCATCTCACTCATTCTTTCAACCAGTTTTAGTTAATTGGTTTTTTAACCTTACAGTCAAAATATGTGTACCAAGAAGAGCGGATAAAGTCAAGATAGGGAACCTGGAGTTATCATCCAAATTAATGTGGCAGGTATCTGGGACTGGGAGTTCAAAGGACTTCAATTATGGTATTACAGTATCGAATGTACAGTGGTTTAGTCCTGAGAAATTGAAAATGACAAATCCTTTGTTTAAAGTAACAAAATAAATGCTGCATCTGGGCACAACATATCGTCTTGAAATCTAGCATTAATTCGCACTCCATAGTCCATACTAAAACAATGAAAGGAACCCGCCAGTTCAAATTGAACCAATTCCAATCTATAAGACTATAAGTACATCCCAGAAGATTCATTGGAGGCCACGGCAGTGCAAAATTGGCCTTGGAGACGTACCAGATTCTGAACACAAATGTACATACAATGTATCAGTTACTGTGATCTTTTGGTGCTAAAAAATAAAACTAATAGGACAGAACCCTACTTAAGCACTTTATCTCAAGCAAACTAATTATGCCAATACCAAGCCAAAAAGCCCAATGCATGCCATGGAGTTACACCAGACAATATTAGACCTCAGAATGAGCCTAGGATTGGTGCAGCTCATAGAACTAAATGCAGCTCATTACCTGAAGCAGATTAGGGATAACTCCCATTCAGGTGAATATTAAGTGCAACATGGAGGACTTTCCCAGGACAAACCAATGCAATAATATAGGTACGTCTAGCTTGAACAGAGTCCCTGAAAGTATCAGAGAAGTCTTCAAGAGCCTTGAGTTTGTAGATATTTCATCCTTCAAGAAAATAAGAAGTCCACTTGGAAACATATCAAAATTTAACTTCTCTCCAAAATTTAATTGCTCAAGATCATGACATCAGGACATCAGAAAACTTACCTCAATGTAAGTAACTTAGACAACAGCAATTTGCAGGCAAACATAATCATCAGGTTTTCACCCCCGCCCAGAAACAGAAATTTCCAACATCACATTCCAGCTTGAAGGTACGCCATATCATCAATTGTCATAAATTAGTTGAATAGCTTTCTTTTCAGAAGCATCTGAGGCACACCTGACTTTCGGTAGAACCTTGGTCATTCATCCACTGTGAAAAGAAACTTGGTATAGTATAACCCTTTGGCATTGGCCCAAAAATGAGGGCAGAAAGCTGTGGTTGTAGTTTCATACAAAATCAGTAGCCAAAATCTAAATTTATATGAGTGAGCAACGATGTGGTGAGATAAGCAATAAGTTGGTAAGAGAGCATTCATTTTGGAACTTGCCTATACAACACGCAAAACAAAGTGATCAACCATCAATCCGATCACATTCTTTAGCAAACTTCCTAAGTTGATATCAATCATTAAAGGTTAACAAATCCAACATTCTTTTTCATTGGATATGTCATCATCAATTAAACTGCCATTTTCTGCATGTATACGGCCAACTTTCTTCATTTCTGAATTCTGAATGAAGAATTCCAATCAGGAGAATGATTGTGTTCACTTGTAATACCATAATTTGTTCCCAGTGACAAATCTTCTATCCTTCTATAACTATGTTGTTTTTTCAGCACATGGTCCTTCAGTGTCATCCTTGGCTGTGCAGCTTCATCCATTTTCACAACAAGAATACAAGTTATATAGCAGCATCAAATCCCTATACCTCTTATCCCATCATCCAACATTTCAAAGCTTTCATCAACTCCACACATTTAAAAGTACACAGTTGTAATTGCATTTATACAAAATATCTCTTCTGGAAACTGTCATGCTAACTATTGGTGACCTTATCTTCCTCACCAAGACAAGCTAAGCCAGTACAAGCAACAAAAAAAGTTCTTAGAGTAGGCCTTGCATGATTTTAACACCTGCAAAGAAATTCCTCAATTCCTTATCACTTTGACCACCTTGCACATGCCCATTGTTCATTGTGGTCCAAAATCCAGCATTCTTCTCTGGTATTTCTTTGAACAACAACATTTCTCTCCTTAAATCTCCATTCTGGTTAAGCCTTCAATCACTCCTGTCCATGATGAAACATCCTTCTATGGCATCTTCTCAACAAACTGAAAGCTTCATCAACCTTCAATCCTTTGATAGTTAAACCTAACATAACACAACATACACAGGAAAATTGAAAATCATTACGTCAACCATTCTTTCTTCAACTCCATGCAGTATATACCTACATGAACCATTAATACTCCAAAATTTCCATTAATAGATACACTGTCTTCTATTATACTAAGATTTCTGAAATTGTACCATCTTTCTTCATTTTTGAATGAAGATTTCCAATTAAAGTATATATTTGCTCAGTTTCACTATGAGATTTATCGCCTACAACAAAAAGATGTATTCCGTTGCCAACTTGAATCCAGCTGCAACCAGGCTGTTTTTTGAGCCCCCGATCCTTCATAATCATCCTGAGCTCTGCAGCTTCTCTCCATCTTCCGCTGCCAGCATATATGTTAGATAGCAGTGCAAAAGAACCAGCATTTTCTGGTTCTGCCTCTAAAAGTTTTTGTGCAGCCAGTTTTCCTATAACTGCATCCCCATGAACATTACATGCAGCAAGAAAAGATCCCCAAGCATATTGGGATGCCTTGCTAGGAAGCTGCTTGATGAAGTTAGAGGCCTCCTTGAACCTCCCAGCTCGAACACACAGATCAATGAAGCATGTATAATGATCTTCTCTCAATTTTATGGACCTGTCATTCACAAGCATATCAAGATATCTGAAACCCTCCTCCACTAGACCAGCATGGCTGCAAGCAGTAAGCAATCCCACATACGTCACATCATTTGGATTCAGTCCCATATTTTGCATTTCGTGAAACAATTTTATTACCTCTTTACCGTGTCCATGGTGAGCATAGGCTGCAATGATACCATTCCAAGAGACCAAATCCCTCTGCCCTCTTATCCCATCATTAAAGACCTTCCTAGCTGTTAATAACTCTCCACATTTGGAGTACATACTTATAAGTGCTGAAATGATAAAATCGCACTTCTGATAAACAGTCTTGCTAATTAGCTGGTGAATTTGCCTTCCCTCAGCAAGAGAAGCCAAGTCACCACAAGCAACCAAGACACTTACAAAAGTTCCTTCATTAGGCCTAACCCCACTATGTGCAAGCATATCAGTGAAAATCCTCAATGCCTCCTCACTTTGACCACCTTGCAGATGTGCATTGATCATCACAGTCCATGATACAACATTCTTTTCGGGTATTTCATTAAACAGCCTATTTGCCATTGCCAAATCTCCATTTTGGATAAAGCCTGTTGTCATTGTATTCCATGATGTGACATCCTTCACTGGCATCCTCTCAAACAAATCAAAAGCTTCATTCAACCTTGAATTCTGTGCATAACCAGTAATCATTGCATTCCATGAAACAACATTCCTCTCAGGCATCCTCTCAAACAACAACTTAGCTTCATCCACTCTCCCGTTCCTTGACAAACCTGCAACCATAGAAGTCCAAGAAATCAAATTCCTTTCTGGCATCCTATTAAAAATCTCTCTGGCCTCCTCAATTCTACCATACTGAATTAACCCCGCAATGACTATATTCCAAGAAACCACATTCCGCTCGTCCATCCTCTCAAACAACCCCAAAGCTCTATCAAGTCTACCACATTTCACATAGCCATCGATCATGGTATTCCAAGAAACAACATTTTTTTCAGGCATTTCATTAAATAGCCTCTCTGCCTCCATAATCCTCCTCGTTTTCACAAAGCCATTAATCATCGCTGTCCAAGTTACCACATTTTTCTTAACATCAACTCTGTCAAACAAATCTCTTGCTTCATCAATCATGCCACATTTCACATACCCAGTAATCAAAGCCGTCCACGAAATAACATCTGGGTCAGGCATTTTATCAAACAGTTCCTGTGCTTCAAGAATTCGACCCTTTTTGCTCAGCCTACTGATCATGGAGTTGGCCCTCGCTACATCTTGATCAACTGTGTAATCTATCTTAGGTATTGAAAATAATTCTGAACTGCATTTGCGTCCTCTAATTGAGTGAAATGGTTTACATGGCCTGAAAAATATGACATTTTCAAGTAAAACCAACAGGTTTGGGTCTGAAAGGCTAAGAAAACATTGTCTTAAAGTGATTATTTTTTTTACTGCAAAAAAGGGTATCATCATTTGAGCTGAACTTTGAAACTGCTAACTAGTAGAAGCAAGCAATAAGAAAAGTTTTTATTTTGCAATGAATAATTAGAAAAGTTAGTTTGCAATTGGAAAGAAAACTTTGCAAGAATTCAAATAAGTATTCATCCGAACTCATCTAATTTTTAGCACAATTCACAGTACAATTTATAAGATTGTTCTCTTTGGATATGTCTAATGAGTGATATAAACTCTAGAGACCATAGCGGGGATGAAAATATACATTTTTTAAAAAGTAAAGCTAAATTTGGAAGAATGGATAAATATAAGGGACAGGACAAGAAATATATTATATGTTTGGATAGAGTTTTATTTAAAACATATTATTTGGAATAATTACTGTAGCACTTTTTGTGATATGATATATGTGAGATAAAAAGGTGGTTGAGAATATAAAAAAGTAGATCAGAAAATGTGTTTATGATGCAAGCGAAATATTATTTGAAAAAATCTGCTATCCAAACATGCTAATAATTTGGACAATGCTTGTTAAAATTTTCTTTTTAAAAAATATATCTTTCATTTAAGATTAGCTACAAATTTACAATATGTTCCTTGATGCGTCACGTGTTATAAAGCCATTCTTTAAAAAACTTCATTGTAGTGTCACTCTTTAAAAAATCCATATTTCATTTAAGATTAGCTACAAATTATGTGGTTTTACGAGTACTTTTAAAAAAATTTACTGTAATTTTGTAAATCAAAAAAACTTTTACCATAGATGTATTTTGGAAGTGTTTTCAAAATTTAAAGTTTTATTGGGGTGATTTTAAATATTTTTACCATAACAACCAACCACCACTAGCCACATTCGCTGCCACCCTCCTCCTCCTCTCTCTTACCTCTTTTACTTTCGTATCATTTCTCTTTCGTATCATTTCTTTTTCCTGCTTCTCCCTCTTCTCTTTCCTCCTCCTCCTTCCTTTTCTTCCTTCCTTTTCCCGACAATCCTCTTCCTCTCCCTTTTTACCGTGATCAAATTTCGTCGTGACCAAATGAGAAGGAAGGAAAGGAAGAGGGCTTGCGAGAGAAGGAGGGAAAGAGAGGATGGGGAGGGGGAAGGAGAGGGAAAGGAAGAGGGAGGGAAGAGAAGCGGCGGCGGTGGTGCAGGAGGGGAAGGATGGTGGCAATGGCGGTATGTGTAGATGGTGGTGATAGGTGGGAGAAGAAATAAGTGGTAAGGTTTATTTTATTTTTATATATTGTTTTATATTTTTGTTATGTGTACTTGAAATTATGTGTATTTAGAATATTTTTGAAGATGTTTTTGGAATATATAAAAAAATTGTGTGTCCATATGAATTAGGTTGCATTTCAAAAACTTTCCACTACACTTTAGGCATTTTGGCCCTGAACCATAATTTGCTTATTTTTCCAAAAAAAGATATATTTGACTTTGCATTATACATGTGAATCTCACTTTTAACTTTTCTCATCATATTATTAATGCTACTAAGAGTATATATCTCATCTTTATGTAATATGTTTATTTAACATGATGAGTCAAATTCGATATGGGGTTGGCTAAGTTTATTGTATCATATTAGGAAAAATAAATGAAAAATTAGGGGATAGATTTATTCACATAGACAATGAAGAGTGAAAAGTGAAAACTTTGCATATTTTCGAGAATACACTTTTTCTACATACAATTTATGCTTATCCACCTACAATTAAAAGTGCATAGGTGAGACCAAAAATTTAGAAAACCATTACATAAACTTGAAGAGGCAGGCTTACAAAAATTGTACATATCATATGGTGTACTTATTTTAGCTGCGATTGGCTGATTGCACAACTTCAATACTTAAAAAAAAAAAGTTCAATATCAAATTGATTGAAATTTCTAAAGTCAAGGACAAAGTTAAGTTTTTTTTTTGGTAAGAAAACATTGCAATTTTATTTTGATATGGAGACCAAAATGATGATCTTCGTGATAATCATTATTGCGAGAGCATTATTATACATCCTCACGAGCATTACCATATTTTGAGCACTCTGTGCACTTGCAATTGTGATATTCAAATTGGACTAAGGTGATGTAGTACAATTTAAATTGAACACTCAGTGTCCTTGCAATTGCAAAGACATTGGATTCGATTTTAATGTCACCCAATAATAAATTCATCATAGTTATCAAACAAAATTTGATATGGGCAAATGAGAAGAGAAAATTCGTGTATGAAAACCATTGTGAATTTCTTTTTCCAAAAAAAAAAAAAACTTGAAAAAAATTTAGGATTAATCTTAACCTAGCATTGAGAAGTTAAATACAGTCAACTGTAATTCAACAGAAGGTGTTGGATGCAAAATCCTTAAAAAAAACTAGTTTGAAGGACTTAATTCAGATATAACAAATTTTTATTTACTTTCAAATATTTATAATAATTAAATAGGTCTATAAACACAAAAAGTAGTAGTTTTTTAAAGTATTGTCATTGATCACTCATTAATACACTTTAATATATGAAACTTAACATGTGAATATATGGATTTATAATAACTATTCTCTCTTGTATTTACACACTTTCCAAACTCGGTGTTATTTTTTTTTCTAAAAATTAATACTACTTGAATTTCGTGGCTGACCACTCGTTAGATGAACTCATTAATAATTAGTAAACTAAATTAAAGAAAAAAAATACATCAACTAGATGCACTACTTGGAAGCTCATAAGTGTTAAGTGCTCTTCACCTGGATAATCATACAATTAAAGCAATCTTACTTTCTTTTTCTTTTTTTTCATTAAAGAAATCTTACTTGAATATGCTTCCCTTATTAATCACTTGAATGAATAACTCGCTAGATTACTAGTCCCAACTGTATTAAAAAATATGAAGGAGTACTGCTACTCTTCTACTACTACTACAAAAATACACTACTAAGTACTAACAACCCAACATATAATACAACAAAAAATTTTATTAGTACTAAAATAAAGGCAAAACCAGCTAGCAGGGGGAGCTAGGGATCTACTGCTACTGGTACTGCTACTGCTACAGCTACAATCTGGTAGTATTCCACTATTACTCCCAAGAAAGCTCAGAAAAAGCTACTACTCATTACTCATTAGTTAGTGGTAGGAAAGTAGTAGTAGTATTTAGTACTGCTACCGCAAAAGTACTGCTGGACTACTATTTTTTTTCATCTGCTTGCTCTTCTTCTACCCTGTCTTGGTTTCTGTTTCTCTCTTTGTGAAATCTATTTAGGGTTTCAAACTGTAGCAGGGAAGCTTTGAGATCTGCTGGATTTGTGAACCAGAAAGTTCCCATTTTTGGGTTTGTGCTAAAAGGGTTGGAGAGTAGATTTGGGGGTTTTCTTTTACTTTTTGGGGTAAAATAATTTCTGGGTTTTCATTGTTTTGGCATTTTGGAAGATCTGGAAGCTTGTGGGACGAGCTTAAGGGAGCTGGAAATGGGAGTGATTGGTTGCTGGAGTGGGTTTGGATGAGTGATTAGTACTGGTTGTTGTAATACTATGTATATCTTGTGTTTGGTTGGGTGTTTCTCTGGAGGGTGGGGGGGTGGGAGGTAAAAGGAGTAGTTTTTAGCTTCTGTTGCTAGTACCTGGGTTTTCTTATTATTTATTTTTTTGGAACTTTTTTTGGGGGTTTTTCTTTTTTTTTTTTTTTTCTGGAAAAGGGTAGTGTTTTTATTAGGTGGGTTTTGGTTATTCTGCAATGAGGTTATCTACTCCAGGGTTGAGTACTCCTCCTCAGCCAGAGGAAGGTAATGGTCCCATATCATTTCCTTTGTTTGGTTTGCAATTTTGCATACATATTCTCTGAGTTAAAATAGTTAATTCTGTTTAAGAAAATTCTGGTTTGAGTTGTTGTTTGGCAAAATTTTTGACTCTTTGGTGAACCATGATTTCATGGGCTACAGGGGAGAAGAAGTGCTTGAATGCAGAGCTATGGCATGCTTGTGCTGGCCCGTTGGTGTCCCTTCCAGCTGTGGGAAGCCGAGTAGTGTATTTTCCTCAAGGTCATAGTGAGCAGGTAAATCTGCCGTACCCTGGTTTTTGTGAATGCATTTTAGGTGTTAGCGCATTATGAATTAGTAACCTCTTTTTGTGGAATTGTATGAAGAAATTGATTTTCTGTTGTAAATTGCGATATACATGAATTTCGTATACTTGCACTTCCATTCTAGTAGGCCTCTTCAATGGTGCTAAGTTAACATATTACTTTCCTCAAAGACTGGATGCAGATGACTTTGTTTGACTGCGTCTTGTTTTGGTCCGATGAAGTCAGCCGGATTTCTTGCTCTTCTACTCCTTTTAAGATGCCATAATTGAATGTTAGTTCTTTTGAAATTTATGACTTGTTGCAGTTTCCTCCTTCACCAAGAGAACAAACATATTTTCAGCTAAGAGATAAAAATAAATTAGTTAATTGCATAAGGAAAAGTACAATTGCTGGTCACCAGTGTTTGAGATGAATTTTATCAACTGACTCTGTTCAATATTGTCTGCTTGGTCAAGAACTTCAGTGGCATTTCTTGAACAAAATGTTTTTCATAATTGATAAAGTAGTAGGGTGAGAAGTTGTCCCTCTAGCAAATTTGTAGTGAAGCATTCAGAATTTTTTTGTCCAGATTAATTTTGTGGTAAATCTTGTCTTGTTTTATTTTAATTTTGGTCCTCATTCTTTTATTTTAACAGGTTGCTGCCTCAACCAACAAGGAGGTAGATGCTCATATCCCTAACTATCCTGGCTTGCCAGCACAGCTCATATGTCAGCTTCACAATGTGACCATGCATGTATGTATGCTTACTTAATCTCTGTCTTTTTGAATTTGATTGTTTTTTCTGACCTTATATTTAGGCCAAAGTTATTATAATTGGAATATTTGTACTTTCAGGCTGATGTGGAAACTGATGAAGTATATGCTCAGATGACCCTGCAGCCGCTAAGTGCAGTATGTTCATTTGCCATATTTTTGTTTGCCTCCTTTTGCCTGTTGAACCATGTATTTCATTTTAAGGTTCCTTGCAATTGTATTTGTAGCAAGAGCAAAAAGATGTTTGTCTACTACCTGCTGAACTTGGCACTGCAAGCAAGCAGCCAACTAACTACTTCTGTAAAACACTGACTGCAAGTGACACGAGTACTCATGGTGGATTTTCTGTTCCTCGTCGAGCTGCAGAAAAAGTTTTTCCTACTCTTGTAGGTCACATTAGTATACCTCCACTGC